GAACATCCTTAAAGATGCTTTTAAGCTTTAAAATACAGTATATGAAGGAAAACTTTAGAATATAGCATGATACACTAATCATGCTAATTAAAAAAAGACAAATTTGTTTTTCTTCTTTTAATCCTTTGCCAGAGATAAGTGACTGTGGATGCAATCATCCATGATATGTTAGACGACTATAGCTCAAAAAAACAATGGGTTTATCTGCACTCAAGCCTGTTTGCCCAGGAGATGCTGCCATAGGTATACAGAATTGGAACTAGCCATGACATTGGAAAACTAACAGGTTTATGATGAAAGACTGACTGTTATGCCTGATATCGTGCTCAATAAAATAATGAATTCTTGTAAAAGGTAAGTTGCTTTTCAGGCATCCTTATGCTTTAAAAGAATATATACATTTTAGTAAACTGTGAGTAACTATAGTTGCTCTGGATGTAAACATGGACAAACAAAAAAATTATCCCTTTCCATATTTTCACAAAAAAAAAGTGGCAACAAGGCTTATTTCCCAAACTGCCTCGGATGACAGAGCAGAAGTTAGCCTTGGGCTACTGGTGCATATGCATGCACTGTGTCCTTTCTTGCTTTCTACATAAACCTTATCTAGCCAGCCAGTTATTGCCTTACCCTCACCTGCTATCTCCCTAACAAGCAGCAACAGATTAGCCTTCATTTTTTTTTTGTATCTAAGCTATGTACAGGGTAAACTGCCATGAAATCCTAAGCCACAGTTCAACAGCTAATATAGAGATTTACAATACAGTTACCATCACAAAATTGGTTTAGAATGAAAAAAGACAAATATCTATTGAAATCTGCTGGTTTGTTGTTCTATGAAGGCACATTTACTACTCTTCTGGTTTAGTCAGCAGTAATATTCTTTATCATTTTACCAATGATTTATGTATGTGTTAATATCATGATTCTCAAACTAAATCAGATAATACTAATGTATAGAGTACAAGGATTTCTTGGAATTAAAAAAAGGTCAGCTTTTTGCTTCTAAGCAAAAAGTAAAGCATTCTTTAAGTTTTACTGCTTAAGACTGAATCAATAATTTATATATGAAAAGTGTTCCTTAACCTATAACAGGGCATCTAAAAAGTAATGGGCAAATTATACTGATGGTAAAACTACCTATTTACAATTTATTATAACTTTACCACACTTTGATTTCAAAGTATTAAAGTCACACAATTAAACAATCCTCTGTGTTTTAACCCATTGCTGAAAGGGATGGCATTTATGTACATGCTATGCCACTGTGAGTTTGGTTTACTATCTTTACACACAGACGGTTCCACTCATACTTAGTCACCAAAGAGTCTGTTACTAGTCCTACCTATCCCACCTGTTTATATTTTTCTTTGATTTTGGAAAATATTATTTCTAATCTTAAATTGTTATTAGTATTGCATATTTTTTGTTTGATCACAATTCTAAATACTTTGAAGCTTAATTTTAATGCAAAATCCAAATGCAAAAATCCACTAGCCAAAATACACATTTGAAATGAAGAACTTCAATATTACCAAAGCTTTGGTTTTGTTTGATGTGCTTTGAGTCTAACAGCCTAGGGCTGGGACTACTTTTCCAGCCAAACGGCATAATGAATGTGGTGAGAATGTAAACAAACATCCTAATAGCTCTGCTATAATTCAAGGAAAAAACCTGATTTTTGGAGAACAAATACTTCAAACAGACATGTTTGACAATATATGGTTATTGTACAAAACTGAAATTAAAAACTTGCTGACAATTTACCATCATGTTTGTTTACAGATGCCTTCTGCACTAAAAGGAAGGCAGTATTGCCTGTATGCATGTGCATGTGGTAGAACTATGATTGTGCTGCAGTGCTCAAAGGCAGGTTGTATTCAGTGCCTGGCAGCTCTAATGGTATGGGACAAAGATTTGAATCTGGTGGTCAATAGTCCGTATAGATGCCACTTGGTTAGTTATACCAAATCAATGCCTTAACTTAGAGCTACTTTTCTGATGTATATACCTCCTAAGGATCATATATACACCCTTTTTTTACCTTTTTACTCTGATTCAATGTTCTGAGAAAATACTACTCAGACACCTATATGGTCTCAAGCTTGCTGGACTGGTAAGGTTCAACTTTCATTAAACAAAGCCAATGAACCAAATAATGCTAACAATAGAAATGCTAACTAGAAAAGGTAGGTGTCCTTTATACATGATTCTCCATCAGGTCATTACTCGCCCCCCCTACTGAAATCTGGATAAATGCAACTGGAATGCTTTGTATGTATAAGTTTTGATTAACCTTGAGGAATTCATTATATCAACAATTTTGGGATGCATCATCAATGTATTATTTGCATGATACAATTCATTAAATTCTGGTACTCTTATTATAGTAACCTTAGTATTTGTAGTGATCAGCTTCTTGAATACTAAATCAACGACAAAGTACATCATATTCAGTAACAAAGACTTTAGGAGAGGAGAACAGGTAACTGTCTCTTACCTTGCGCAGGCAGCACAGTAGGCACATTGGTAGGGGAGGAGTCTTCCCAGCGACTCTTCCTCCTCTTAACCTGCTGTTCCTCTCTGTCATGGCTCTTGCCACTGTCATCTTCACTGGAACCAGCTGAGAGAGAAACTAGCAAACTTCATCAGTAAAGCTGCCTCGTTACTAACCTAGCAATGGGGAGTGGAGAGAAATAACAATGCAGGTGACCACATGCCAAAAAAAATAATTCAGCTTTGAGACATAATTTTATAATAGGAATTGGCATCACAAGCACCAACATCCAGCTTCTCTATCATTATTTCCTTCCCTGTGGGGTTAATGACAAATGCAAAACATGAACTGCAGATCTACTTGGCCAAAAAGGAACTAAATCAAACTGCTAAAAAAATATAAATGAATTAGGATAAAATAAGAATGAAAGAATTAAGCAAAATCCAAACCTACTGTTATGTCATACTTCAGAACTAATTGGTATATAACAATATTCTATCTGAGTATAATTACATATGAGTTAAGAAAAAATATGAGAGAGAGAGAGAAATAAATAGATAGATAGATAGATAGAGAGAGAGAAAGGGAAAGAGAGAAAGAGAGAGAGAGAGAGAGAAAGAGGGAAAGAGGGAAAGAGGGAAAGAGGGAAAGGGAGAGAGAGAGAGAGAGAGAGAGAGAGAGAGAGAGAGAGAGAGAGAGAGAGAGAGAGAGAGAGAGAGAGAGAGAGAGAGAGAGAGAGAGAGAGAGAGAGAAGAGAAAGAGAAGAGAAAGAGAAAGAGAGAGAGAGAGAAAGAGAGAGAGAGAGAGAGAGAGAGAGAGAGAGAGAGAGAGAGAGTGTTTTATACCTACTTACAGTACATAATCAAATAACTCATATTCAATAGTACTCCACATGAACCACAAGGGGACTGATATCTTTTGACTTATTTTCATTGGAATATGGTTACTCATGCCATGTTGACAGTACATGGTTTGTAACAATATGGATCTACAATTTTATAGTGTACATACACAATCATGTCACATACATATTCACATACATAATTGCGAAATGTTTTACTACCTAATGCAGTTACATGGAGTTTAGTACGTGTTTATATCTGTATGTAAAATATTATGGAGACAAATTCTGAAATGCTATGAATAACTAAAAAAAGTAATACTAAAGAGATGAAAAACATACATTTATAATTGTAAATTTTCAGGTGTGTAAATGAAATAAGACATCAAAATATATTTCCCCATGAATTTTGGTGAAAATGGTTCAGCTATATTTCCGGATAAATGAGGAAAACAACAAGCAGCTATATTCCAGTTTGCAATGAAAAGGCTGCAACACCCCTATACACACACTGATAAATCTGCCCAATAGCTACCCCTCCTATTTTGCTGCAAAGAAGCTTAGGGACCAAACATAGATAACATGTGACAAAATACTACAGTTTGCACATACCAAAATATTTTATATCATCATATGATTAACCCATTCGCCACGGATTTATGTTCGGTCCCCTGTAGTTTTTGGTGAATTTTGTTACATACAGATGGCTCCACATGTGCTCAGCCGGCAAGGAGTCTATCAGTAGACCCTAGTTACCGACCCTGATTTTCCCATTTATTGAATTGGCGGGAAAACTAATACCATTGCTTTCGATACTATTATTATTGTTATTGATGTTATGCTTATTGAATTGTCATTAGAATATTTTTGACTATGAAATGATACAAAAAAACCCTTTCCTAAAGTGAAGGAAAAGGGTAAACAGGTGAAATAGGTAGTTCTTGATAACTGGCTATTTGGTGATTAAAAACTTGTGGAGCCATCTGTGTGTAAATACAATAAATAAACGTGTATCAAAGTGGGTATGGCATCTATTCTTGCCATATGTGGCGAATGGGTTAAAAAGAAAATAGAAAAAGAAAGAAAATAGAAAAAAAAAGAAGAGAAAGAAAAAACTACATGTAGTGGAGACGTAAAATATTCTTCAAAACAGTTACACTGACAATGCTATCAATTGCTAATGCCAGCCTATTTTAGACTTTTCTGCTGTTGATCATTTTCAATGTTTTTGTGTAAAACATAATTGCTGACTGCTGGTTTGGATCTGTGCCATCACATGGCCCAAAAACAGCCCTTAGGCTTAAAAGAGTTGCCACTCTGATGGATATGTGGCTTGTAGGCTGGGCGCACAAGGACACTCATTAGCAGCAACAAAACTCAATGCCTCCCCTTGGCAATGTTATTTTCTCTTTTTCTACCAAAGTGTTTTTAGCCTTTTTGCCATTTTCCAGTGTCTATATCTGTCATTTGGCTTGCTTTATCAAGATGGTAATAGACTGTTTTCCTTGCACAGTTTCAATATCACCTCTCTAGAGGTAGGTAGGGGGTGGTGTGTGTTGTGTGTGTGTGTGTGTGTGTGTGTGTGTGTGTGTGTGTGTGTGTGTGTGTGTGTGTGTGTGTGTGTGTGTTTGTGTGTTTTTGTGTGTGTGTAAGTGTGCGCGTGTGCATATGTGCTTCTCTCTCCATTTTCTATGACACTAAGTTTGCTACTCAGTCTTTGATCACTATGTGACATACCAGTAAAATCAAGCCCCACAAGTCTCAACAAAAATCTAAAGATACAAATATGCATTTCATGAACAATGAAAATTTGATGCCTATCTGCATCTGGGCAGAATGATTAGGTTTCCAAATTGCAGTCTTTTGGGATTAAAAGGCTATATATTTGAAATCTTGAAAATCTGTGAGGTTGGTCATTTTAGGTAATAATAAAGAAATATTTGCTAGAAAATAGGACATGCTGATAAATCATATTTGTGTTTTTCATTCATTTAGCTACTAATATTCACTTTCACCTTCAATTCATGTATGTTAGACACAGAAACTTATTTGTCATTCCTCTCTGCACCATCTCTACCAAAATTATCTTTTACACACGTGATAATCCACATACTAACTTAAACTACACTACTTTAAGGTAACACAATGGAAATGAAAGAAGCTTGGTACAAACAACCAGGAAGAAAGAGAGGACATACATGCACCCACACCCGACCCACTCACCCACTACCCAACTGCATACATACACAAAATAATTCAGAGTACTGTATGGTCTGCTTGGAGCCTCTACAGACCTTTTTTTTCCCTTAATGACAAATTGTTATCTAATCCTAACTGTAATATTCTGTAATGTTTTCTCAACAGATAAAGTAATTCCCAAAAACTCTCTTTGACACTGAATAAAAAAATCTCTAAAACTATTCACAAGAGTTCTAAATAAGTAAATCTCTCTACAATGGAGAGTAACATAGGCTAAGAAACTACAACTGTTTCTCTGAAAAGGAAAATACGTAGAGTGAGATATGCAAAGAGAAAAAAGAGCAAGTTTGCAAAGCCTCGCATAATTCCGCTGAGCGGTCAGACAGGTCCTTCTCTCAGGGACTGATACCCCTCAGCACTCCTAAGCCAACATGCCCCTCCCTGTAAATAAATCCCAATAAGTACGACATACCTTATACAGTACCAGACTCTTGAACTATATTTGCGCCCGGGAAATTTGAAGTTTACTAGCATCTTTCAAACAATTTTTTGGACTTGAGTACTTAAAAAAAATTTTGTTTATATGTATGGAATGTTCATAAGTAGAATGTTCTTAATTAGGGGACTATCTGTACATATATACATTATCTCTCTCTCTCTCTCTCTCTCTTGCCCACTCCCTCTCTCTCTCTCTCTCTCTTGCCCACTCCCTCTCTCTCTCTTGCCCACTCCTTCTCTCTCTCTTGCCCACTCCCTCTCTCTCTCTCTTGCCCACTCCCACTCTCTCTCTCTCTCTCTCTTGCCCACTCCCACTCTCTCTCTCTCTCTCTCTTGCCCACTCCCACTCTATCTCTCTCTCTCTCTCTTGCCCACTCCCACTCTCTCTCTCTCTCTCTTGCCCACTCCCACTCTCTCTATCAATCTCTCTCTCTCTCTCTCTCTCTCTTGCCCACTCCTTCTCTCTCTCTTGCCCACTCCCTCTCTCTCTCTCTTGCCCACTCCCACTCTCTCTCTCTCTCTCTCTTGCCCACTCCCACTCTCTCTCTCTCTCTCTCTTGCCCACTCCCACTCTATCTCTCTCTCTCTCTCTTGCCCACTCCCACTCTCTCTCTCTCTCTCTTGCCCACTCCCACTCTCTCTATCAATCTCTCTCTCTCTCTCTCTCTCTCTTGCCCACTCCTTTTCTCTATTAGAAGTATAGGTTTTTTAGGACTTAGGACTTATAAGCCCTCAGTCTTTATATGTAATTGAACTAAACTAAATTTCATGCTCCTAAAGCTACTAATGTTATAGCCAAAGAAAGTGTAAATCTTAATATTCACAGTCTAAATATTACAACTTATTTCAATTCCGAAGAGTGGAAAAGAAAGGAAAAACAGAGATAAAAACTAAAAATAAAACCCCTTGGTACGAGCCCTGTTTTCTTTACATATTTAACCCAATGGTGCTGGGGAAAATGAACAAAAAATGGAGAAAATGCTGTGCCCACTTTCTATGTTTTTCGTGAAATGTCTGCCGATAGATGGCTCTGCTAGTGCCTGATTTGAAATGGCGGGAAAAACGTATTTTTCACTAGTGCTATGAAAATCGATGGTGTTATTTTTATCATAAACATTATAATTTTTATAGTGTTTTTTAACATTAGTAACAGCAAAATAAGATTATGTAAAATATTTTGTAAATCAAAGAAACGGGTAAATGGGAGAGACGGGCGGTACTCGTAGTTGGCTCATTGGTGATTTAGTACAAGTGTTGACATCTATGCGTAAAAACAATCAAACAAGTACTCACGGTGGGCATAGCACATATGTACACGTCATACCCGGCACCAATGGGTTAAAGGTCTCAATCTTAACCCTTACATTTGAGCCACCTTAATTCAGGTGTTAAGTGTCCCTTTGTGTCCCTCTCCTCCCATCCAATCCCCCTCCCCCCCAAGGCCTTCAATGCAGAGGCCACCACACCCACCATTCCTTCCCATAGCTTGCCTCCTTCCCCTAAGATCCCCTCCTCTCCCTTCAACAACTGGCTCCCAGCCTGGCTGAGCTGATAACCACGTTATCTTATTTTCCATTATCTCCTTAACCCATTGCCTCTG